ATACTATTTTATGATCACACATTGAGTACAAGTGCAATGATCAGGAATAATATTTTTAAAGAAACTATCATTCTTATATTTTAATTTTATGTTTAAAATATGAAAATTGAAGGTAAACAGATGTAAGCAATTATATGTCATATGACTGCAGAAATCCTAAAAGGACTTCTTATACTTTATAGGTGTAAATTTAGTAATTATATTTTCAAAGAATACAATCTTACAGTTATCACAATTTCTTAAGAAAGACCCAACAAAATATGAATATGAAAAATTCTATGGTTCCTTTAGATTAAGTGTCTTTAAATATTATGCAGATTAGCTAGAGTTATAGAAATGTCTTCCAAATGCAAATCAAAATGTTACTTCTTGAGCCAGTTAACTCAGATTCCGTGTCCCTACATTGAATTGATAATGTTTTCTCAAATCTATTATGATATAGCACTTAAACATTTCACTGAGTAGTTAATATGAAATCATTGCACATTGTTTTTTAGAGATGATTTAATTTTAAAATTCAATGGGATATATTTGTATATTGCGCTTCTAAATAAAAGGACAGAGTAAACAAATAAAAACATGATATAGGCCAAGAAGCCAATAAATATCCATTATTGACAATGCCCTGGTGATAACTTGTGTATAATGAGGTAATGGGCAAACACCAATAGGGGTATTTCATTAAAACTTGAGGTTCAAGTTTACATAACAGGCTAAATAAATAAAAATATCTATGTTGCAAAAGTATAATTCCACTCTGTATTTCTCACTCACTAATGATTGGTATAAATACGGAATTATGAAATTCTCTCATCACTGAAATCACTGGGGGCTAATGAATTTTACTGCTTTCAATTTGCTCATTAGATAGCTTCTGGAACCTGAACTACTGTCTTCCATTTTATGTTCTGTCTCCCTGCATGCTGACACAGGCATTCTCTGATGGACGCATGTTTAACAGCTTTTCGTAGTTTACTGATCCGCAGGGAGACACAGAAGAGTCTCTGCTACCATTACAATGGTTATTATTCAGTTAACATGAGTAAGGTGATTATAAATTTGTGAGAGGCATAGTTTGAAGCTTTTATAGTTCAAACAGCAGATTTTGGGTTAAATGTTACTTCCTCGTGTTCCTCAAACTGGCCTTAAGATTCTAGTGGTCATTCATAATAAAACCAAAAATACTTCATATTGCTTGAATTGTACTAGCAAGTAATAAATCTTGTTAAATTTTTATTTATGAGGCTAATGGTATTTTTCTTACAGAATATTATAAACATATTCTGAGCTACCATGATATACTAAGTCTCTTTAAAATTAATATGACAATTGAGGTACATTACTTAAGTCTGAATTTTCTAACTAAATATAGATTTACATAAAGGGGAAAAAAGGACAGAAACTAGATTTTGAATTACAGAACCAACAGACATTTGGTATCTTTCTTAATGGAAAACAATATTAGACCTACTATGCACTAAAAGCACAAAGCATCAGGAAGACGGGAGCTGTGTCCACTCTTCATCTGATGAACGCGGACGCTGCTGTGAATACTGTACATGTTTGAGACTGCTAACGAGTAAAGTGAAAGCCACACTTTTTAAAACTATTCTTCAAACATGCTCACAATGTTTGCATTATCTATTATCTTCTCCAGTTTCCTTTTTGCTCAATTTAATAAGTAAAAGTTTAGTTATAGGAAAAAAAAGTCTTTACAGATTTGGGCTAATTAGAAGAAGGCTAACATGAGACAGACCAAGAAGCCAAGAAATATCCATTGATGACACTGCCCTGGTGATAATTTGTGCATAATGAGGGGACAGGCAAACACCAATAGGAGTAGTTCATTAAAAGTGGAGGTTCAAGTTTACATAAAGACTGAGCTGAAGTGTGAAGCTTCTGTGTAGGGCCTACTTGTTGCTTAACTGTTGACTCCACAAATCTTTCTTTCTCTCTTTCTTTTTCTTCTTTTCTTTCTCTCTTTTAGATGATTATATACATCCGGAATATTCCTTTTGTCTTTCTCACAGTATCTAATATCGTGTGGGGCACAGTGGTAATACCGTGAAGAACATTTAAACATACTTTGTTGGTCACAAATCTGCACATATCATTCCGTCGAGGAACGTATTTGAGATCAGGATGCAGCATAAAATGACCTGCTTTGTGTGCAGTGCTGCTGCTCCCTTACAGGAAAATGATTATTGTTATAACTGCATGATCTGCATACAAAGCTTTTAAAATGTAGTCTGCTTGTTTTTGATAGTTATAAAAGTGGAGACCCACTGTCTTTGTGAAGTAAAACATTTAGGTATATGATTTATGTATGCTAGTCTATGCTGTTGGTGATTATTTTCCATTTTATAACGCGTGCTAGTCTAAGAATGGCTGAACACAATGTATTCATCCTACTGTTGATGGGCATCTGAGTTGCTACTGCTTTGGGCTCCTATGAATAAGTTGCCGGGCGCATACTCAAACAGTCTCCTGGCATATGGCTAGGATGTTTTGCAAGGTGAAGAAGGTATTTTCTACCTTAATAATATTGATATTTTGTGCCAGGTAATTCTTTGTTGTGGGGCTCGCCTGTGAATTTTAGGATCATTAACAGCATTTCTAGCCTCTACCTACTAGATGACAGCTACGCTCTCTCGCTCTCTCCGTTGTATGTCTGCAGACATTGCCAAATAGCCCGAGGGGCCAAGATCACCCCTGATTGAGGGACACTGGCTTTGAGATTGCTGAAAGAGCTCGTTTGAGTTAGTCCCATTTATCTTGGAGCTGCTACCTCCCAGTCAAGCCAGATCTTACCCACCTCCTTCCTCACTTTGCTCACTTTCCTCCCAGGGAGGGAAAATGGGAAAAACCGAGAGAGGGCTGATGTCCCCTTTCTACCTGGACAGTCCCTCCCTCAGGTCATCTGTTCATAGGGCAGGCTTCCCTTTCCCCTTCTACCACATCCAGGTACCGCTGGGGATACTGCCCTTGGGTTTTAACTATTTTGTTATTGGTCTTCAGCTTTCTTCCTGGGCAGGAAATACCAAGAATGACAAGTCTTGGATGTCTGACCGCTTCTTTCTCGTAAGAAGCAGATCTGATAAGGAAGGGGTTGTCTTTGTAGGGGTTCTCTCCCTCTTCATTTGAGTCATTAATGGCTCTCTTAACTTCTGTCTCCAGATTGGAGGGTATCAGGTTGAATTTTCAGGCTTTTCATGAATCTTTCCCCTCCACCATATTGATTCCAGAAGGAAAGGGAGGTGGCAGCCAAGTCAATTCATGGCATCTGCTATTTTTCTCTCTTTTTCTGGTTGTCGTGTTTTCAAAAGCATGGTTACAATCTCGGGCATGAATTATACAGAGTGCCAACAGGCCCGGACAATCAGTAGGTTAGGGACAAAAAGATAGCAGGAACAATGTGTTTGCTAGAAGAGACCGAAGAGGTAATTTAGGTTACCAACCCTGGCTTCGAATCTTGCTACACAACAAACAAGTATGTAGTAAGGGCATTAGACCAGTTACATGGCCAGGCTCCGTACAAGTACCTTGTGTCTATGTACATGGTATCGCTCTCTCTCTCTCTCTCTCTCTCTCTCTCTCTC